ACGACTATGAGGACACCGCTCCCCCGGCCTGTGTGAATCACCGTCGCCCCCCAGAGCTCCAAAACGGATGGGCACACGCACTAGGCTGTCACAGGTACATTTTACATTTTTGTTTTTCAACCCAAAAATCAAACCCTCCGCATCTCGTAATGCCAAGACAACAACCACAAGAACGCGGGTATCAGGGTGGGCCTTGTGGAAAATGCGATCGCCAACGTCTTGAGGCAAAACTCTAGACTGCTGTAGACTAGTACTACTTACGCCGTAGTCTCGACGAACGAGCTCTACATGTAACTCAGCTGCAGTCCGACGCTTTCAGACAGCTAAACAGGGCTGCAACTCACCAACAAAGGGGAAGAGGACGGTGTGTTAGCGGAAGACTTCCGACTGCTCGTCCTTGATCTGCCGGCTACCACTCACAGACAGTATCACGGCGGTACAACCAGCGTGTGTGAGAGATGCTTGTTTGGCTGGTCTGTCACGAGGGTAGTTCATGCGCTCGAGGACCTGCGAGTGCCCCACCAATCGAACGATCTGAGAGCGAATTTTCTCTCTTGCGGCTGCTATGGTCTCCGTGTGAGGTGCTCTCTCTCGATAGGGCTGCGAGGGGGCAGAGGGACTTCGCTGGAAATTCGCGGGCCGAGAGCAGAGAGAGGCCGGATGGAAACGCCTTTTCTCATTTCTTGGATAGTGGCAAGGACAGTGCCTCGAGCGTCAGGTGGATCCCATGAGGAGGTGCGACATGCACGCACCACCGTGGCAACTGAAAGGCTCTAGTTGGGGAGGAACTCACGCTTCGGCGATGGACGGGACGTTGATCTGGCTGTCTGCGGTACTGTACACTGCCCTATTTTCTGCGCCTGTAGGCAACTCGACTCCCTCGAGAGGCATGTAGTGGTCCCGGTCAACAACCATGGTACCATCACACAGGAGGCTCGGAGAGCACATCGAGGAGACCTCCTTTCTTATGTGGGGCTCAAAGCGATGGGGGTGTTCTTCGATAGGAGCGGCTGTGTACAGCAGTAGGTGAGCCATGCAGACTTCGGGCGGCTACAGTGAGTTTTTTCTCGCTTTAAATCCTGGTCTCCGTTGGAAGCGACGCGCTGCAAAGCTCGTTGTTAGTAAACCATAATCGACTTCATAAGTCGCGAGGGAAGGGATTGCTGTACCCTTCTCGCGATAAAAATATCTCAGACAGGAACCGCAGGAGGGGGTCCAACCCCCCCCTCCTATGTGACCCCGGTTGGGTCGACTAGCTGGTAGAAGTGGAGGATAGGGGCCAGAGGGGCAGACGACAGAATCCAATGATGGGAGAAAAAAAAAAAAAGTGTGCGTAGAAACAGATCCATGTAGATTGTGCCCTCTGGTGAACCAGTCAGATTTATTGTCACCTTGGGACTTCCCGCACTCTCCCGCCCTCCTACAGGACTTCTTCTTCCGGTGGATTGGCATGGGCATCGGCATTCGATGTCTCGTCTTCGTTATCAGGTAAGAAGAACTTCACGCCAGACTGCCCTGGTCGCCCATCATCTCGAAATCTGCCTCTCTTTCCAACTGAACCAGACGTGACTGGTGATCATCAGCGTCGAAAACTTGTTTGGGCCTTTTCAGTTACACCCTTCACAGTGCCGCCTATATGAACTGTCTGCTCTTCACCCATCGCCACAACCGGCGGACCGACACGTGTACCGCGTCTGGCACTCTGTTCGACAACCAAACTACATTTTTGTCCAGAACAACTCAGCACAACTTCGCGTGGGTCAAAGTACGACGAGCACCCACGCCATCCCAGCGGCAAGAGTGGTGTTGAACGCGTGGAACACGCACGTGACAGCGAAAATGTTTTCCGTGGTGTTTTAACGACAAGACGATTTGAAGCTTCACTTGCCCCACATTGAATTGGCCTGCAAATACGTCGGTCAGCGCCACCACTGGACCCGGGTCGGACCAAGCTCCCATCAACAGGCTTCCCCACCTGCCAATACCCAATATTTCAACATTCGTGCGCCCTCGTGGCCACCAAAGCCTAGCACGCGACCAGCTGGGGTGCTGCTCTACCTTCGGCGTGGACAAGCCAGCTTCAATCCTGCCAGAATGTACACCAAGCCAACATTATTTCACGACTACAATCGGGGCGCAAACGATTTCTAATTCGGCACGAACATGGATGGATGGGGGCGTCTGCCCTGACAGCATGTTGAAATGTGCACACATCCGATCATTGCATTTCTCCTCTAAGTCAACACCAGAAAACACCATATTCAATGACCAGGGAGTGTCTTCGGACCGCATGTGAAGCAGGGTTTCCGGACCGCATGTCAACTGCCGCGATCGCTGCCCCTGGTCTTGCTGCAGTACATGGTTCGGTGGTGTGGTGCGCATCTACGCGGCTACACAGGCCTACTACGTCGAACGTTGACAAGTTGACAAGTTGTGCAACTGCTCGTCCCTCTTTCGTTGACAAGTTGAGTATTACCGGTCCCTCTGTCCATGCTCATAATGTTGTCGGTGTGTGCCGTATCTGCCAGAGAGCCGCAAGACGCCAACTGAGGATGTTTTCCATGTCGCCACACAGAGTACAGTTTGTTGGACCACCTCCACCACGGGGGAAGCGCGAACCACATAGATAGGCCTTCGCCCATATAACTCTCCTTTGTCCTCTCTCCGTCCCTCCCATTTCCGGCTCTTGGAATTCTTCCGTCTTGTTTTCAAGGGTCCGCGAAGCTTATGTATGTTATCTCTGGTTTGTTGCGATTGCCGCCCGCTGCCGACTTTTCGGAGAGTACATGAAATGGCCTAGATGAACATTGCTCGCCAACATAATAAGGAGTTCACGGTAGGCAAAGAACGTCCTCTATGTGTGTGTACATATGCGACATATGATTCGCGAACTCTCTCCCTTCCCAGGTATTTCATTTTGTCTACTGCTGTAGTCTAACTTCTTTTTTTGTCTTCTGTCCTTCTCGGTCATCTCCGCTCCTTTTATTTTTTTTGTTCTTATAACAGGTGGTTGGAGTCCTATGGGTCCCCCCGTCCACCACCAAAAATAAATTTTCACTTGTATTGAACGGACGGGTATATATCCCCCTGTGCATAGACAGGTGGCCGCCCCGACGAAGCAAGTCGCCGCTCTCCTTTCACATATATATATATATATATATCCTTACAACACCTCCTACAGCAGTAGCTCAAACACACCAGTACGCCTTCTTAGACATCAAAGGCGTGTGTGGGGGGGTCATCATCGATGAGCATGAGAACCAGCGCCGTCAACTGCCCAAGTTCACCGCAGGCGACGCTTTGTTTTTGTGGTTGCTTTGGGGGGGCGGAGTGTTTCCTTGCCACATCCTGCCACCTGGTCGGGCCCACAGACAGGTAGGTGTTTTCCCCCCTCCATGCACTCGTTCACCACAAGAACAGCCAGTACTTATATTCCATGTTCAGACGGAGGAAGAAACAAACGCAGATTACACGCCCTCTGCCTCTCTCCCCTCCCGTCAATCTCATGTTTCGCTCATTTTTTGGGGAGAGGAAAGAAAGCTAGACTAGGGTGCGCTCGCATGCAAAAAATGAGCAGAGCGCGCTCTGGGTGGTCTCACCTAGGAGAATATGACTGTTCGTGCGTAACATGCACGTACGTAGATCAGCAAGCACTTCTCGGCATTGAAATAGGATTTCCTCGCCGGAAGAGAAGTAGTGCATTTACGCGGGGGCGTGGGGAGAATGTTATTTTTCGTCCACTCGGTGCCGGTCGTGGACTGTTCGTTTTCGGGCGGAACTTGAGTACCTCTTTTGCGCAGAGATGTTCTCTTCAGGAGGCCGCGAGTGTGATATGAAGTACACGCGCCGACACCCAGCCACGATATCGGTTCGACGAGACCCTGACCGCGTGACCGCAGGCGTCACCTTGTCCCACTGCTGACGGATCGCCGTCTGCCCGGTTGGCTAATGGCGTGCGGTAGCCCAGTCCACCCTCCGTCGCCACCGTCACGGGAACCTCTCCTATTTTTTTTACTATCGTCGCCGCTCCCATCATCGGTGGTGCCACTGCGCCGTTCGTGAGTGCGTGCTCCCGGCCGTCCTCCGCCGCGGGGAACACATGTCTTACGGTGGTCCCCCTCTCGCCGCCGGTGCTGCTGCCGATGCTGCCGCTCCCGCCACGAGAGCCTGCTGCCCGGCCGTCTCCCCCGCCGCCGCCGGGGGAAAACCCTGCCGCCGGGGGTCGCCACTCTCGCCGCCGATAGCGCTACCGATGGTACAGCTCTAGCCGCGAGTGCTTGCACCCCGGCCGTTCCGACGGCCGGCGTCGCGGGGAACCCATGACTGACGGTGGTCCCTCCTCTCGCCACCGGTGCTGTCGCTGATGCTGCCGCTCCCGCCATGAGTGCCTGCGGCCCGGCCGTATGGTACCGCTCTAGCCGCGAGTGTCTACACCCCGGCCGTCCCGACGGCCGGCGTCGCGGGGAACCCATGACTGACGGTGGTCCCTCCTCTCGCCACCGGTGCTGTCGCTGATGCTGCCGCTCCCGCCATGAGTGCCTGCGGCCCGGCCGTATGGTACCGCTCTAGCCGCGAGTGCTTGCACCCCGGCCGTTCCGACGGCCGGCGTCGCGGGGAACCCATGACTGACGGTGGTCCCTCCTCTCGCCACCGGTGCTGTCGCTGATGCTGCCGCTCCCGCCACGAGAGCCTGCTGCCCGGCCGTCTCCCCCGCCGCCGCCGGGGGAAAACCCTGCCGCCGGGGGTCGCCACTCTCGCCGCCGATAGCGCTACCGATGGTACAGCTCTAGCCGCGAGTGCTTGCACCCCGACCGTTCCGACGGCCGGCGTCGCGGGGAACCCATGACTGACGGTGGTCCCTCCTCTCGCCACCGGTGCTGTCTCCGATGCTGCCGCTCCCGCCACGAGTGCCTGCGGCCCGGCCGTTTCCCCGCCGCCGCCGGGGGAAAACCCTGCCGCCGGGGGTCATGCCTCCAAGAGGCCTTCTAGTATCTACCCCGCAGACTTGGCGCTATTACCATGAGAAACCTGCGTGCCGCCTACGGTGTTCGCAGGAAACAATTATTCGCCGCTTGACCAATCAGAAACTGCATGCCGTCTTCGGTCATCCTGAGAATTACATTTCACCGTACTTTATTTTTTTCAATCAGGAACTTCGCGCCACCTTTCCTGTTCTATAATTCCATACTCATCCACAACAATCAGAACAACTCCCCGGTGATTGACTGAAGGTAGGCTCGACCGTCGAAGAAAACATTACCACCCCCGCAAACAAACACATGACACGGAGCCGCCAAACTCTGCGTACTAATGTACCTCCGTCTACCTACGCTATCGACGACCGAAGTAATCCACATGCATCAAAGCAAAAAAAAAAAAATTAAAGTGCCTCGAGGATCCGCGCCTGCAGCTCGGCCTTCCTCCCGCCGACTTTCAGACCCAGGGCCTTGCACCTGGCCTTCAGCTCCGGAACCTTCATGGATTCCACCTCCGCCTTAGCTGCGTCTCCACCGCTGCCGGCGCCGCCACCACCAACGCCACCCGATGCCCCATCGCCCCCGTCCCCATGCTCCTCTACCCCACTACTGCCACTGCTGGAAGCGGCTGGAGAAGCAGGACTACCAACGGCGCCGCCGAATGACGCGGCTTCATCCCCTGCCAACGGCTCCCCCAATATCGCGTCCAGGTTTCCGAAGTCGTCCTTCGGGGCAAAATCTGCGGCTGATGCCGGCGCCGGTGCCGGTGCCTGCGGCACCGCAGGGAGACGTTCTTTGGCCGGCGGCCGGCCTTCCGCCGAACGGTTCTCGGACCGTTCCTGGTTTCCGAGGCTACCCGCGTTTTGCGGGGCCGGCCCGCGTTGTCGCTCTTGCCGTCTGCCACCGCTGCCTCCTGTTCTCGAACGAAGCGGGATCGGAACGAAAGACCAGCGACGAAAAACAAAGAGGATGCGAAGCATTCGGAAATGAACATAAACACGCTTGGTGAAATGGACCAGGGGGGAAAAGAAATGGCAATGAGACGTCGACGCTCAGAACAAACACACACACACACACACACACACTTTTGGCTGGTCAGCCGGTTTGCGCGGTCAATGCTAAACAAACAAAGCACACACACACACCGCATGTGCAGCTCTCTGTTGCTATCGGCCGTTTATGTCAAATATCCGGAGAGTAGCTGAGCCTCCCCCATCACACACCCTCACGGTATCCCAGACCATGGCCTTTTCAAGAATGAGTATGAGTTTTCGACCGCGCTCAGAATGGCGCGTTTTCATGGCCCAGTCCGCTGGCGCGCTCGATGGTTACGACAACACACACAGAGATAATCACCTACGCCTTTTGCGATGTATGTGTGACGCACCACTGTGATAGCCGAGGGTACCGCAGTGAAAAGAGAAAATTGATGTCAAGGCTCCATCACACCGAACGGGCAGGCAGCCGTTCAGTGAGTGTATGCATCACTTCTAAAAGGAGAAAGACTCCAACTATTGTTGAATAAATAGCAACTATCTCGAACGAGTAGCCTTTCCGTGATGGTACACGTACGTACGTCTTAGTAAGAGGTACGTGTCTCACCGAAAGACCCGGCCCAAGCTCGACAACTCACACAGCTGATGTATTTCTTGACACGACGACCCCAGCGAACCTCAACCAACCAACCAGGACATGTACTAAAATGGTCTGTTCGCACGGGTCCAAAATAAGATAGGCGGAAGCAAGCCGAATCTCACACAGCCCGGCGAACCTCAACGAATCTCACACATACACAAAAAAAAAAGGCGGAACACGACAACGCTCACCCTGATCTTGTCCTCCTTCCGCCCTGCTTCTTTCCCCCGGAATCGGGGGGAGCAGGTCAAAGTCCGAGAAGAACGGCTTTGCGGTATCGCTCCCTGAATCCACCCCCGCGGCAGCGCCTGCAGCGGTGTTCGCGGGAGCCACAGCAGCCGGACGCGGAGGGACGGCTCGAAGAGGAGGAGGGGGAGACGTTCGCGAAACGGTCTGCTGAGCGGTCCGCTGGGGCGGAGAAGCCTGTCGCTGCTGCTGCTGCTGCTGCTGCTGCTTTCGCCGGAACTGCTCCCTCTCCTGCGGCGAGACGATCCGAGGACCGTTCCTTGGTCCGTTCTGGGGAATGGTTTGACGGGGGTTCTGGGTAAGGAGGCGAGGGACAGGCAGCGCGGGGCGAGTGCGGCCGGCGCGGCGATTGGCTAATAAAAAGGTACAGGGTGTCTTACGACAACTTACGACAGCGGGTGCTTGGAGGACACCACAACTTATAGGGCACCCACCACAGAACACCAGCAGCAACACCTGCCACCGCTGCTACTGCCCGTTCTATTTTAGTACGGCAATACAACACAACAACGGTTGCATACTTTGCGCTGCAAACGCTTCAATTAACGCAACAGAACAGAACATCAACAAAAACTGCTGCTAGGCATACATATGCTCACATAACAACCTGCTGGTGCAAAACTATTTTGAGGGCCCCGAAGAACGCAACATCAACAACTGCTGCACGTGCTAATAGCAGAGCATCAACACCATCAACAAGTGCTATTTACAACAACTCACCCTGGGCGCCGTCGAAGAAACTCTGTCACCATCAACACCACCAGTGGACATTCCAGACTTCAGCAGCTCATTGATGATGGCCTCGCCCGCCTGCACCCCTCTTGCCATCGCTTCCCCCCCTGACAGAATCGGTGTGGGATTTACATCATTTCGCTTGGGAGCGGATTATTTACCGAGCACTTGCTGTTCTTATGGTCACGCCCGTAGGCTTTCGATTGCTTACATCATCTACTCCTTGACTCTCAGGCTCTTGCGCCTTACGTATGTGATATCATGCTCTGCTTGCTTGTTTGCTCATGGAGAGCTGGGTTTTGGCAGACAGATCATCGGTATTCGGGGCATGGATTCAGGAGTGCCCTCACGGGGCAAGAATTTCACTCACGAAGAATGAGGGTAGAGGAAGGGCGCCACCAATTTTCCATAGCTCTGTCTCCCTACTCGTCATGCCGTGAATATGTACGTCACCCATCTGCGTGACCCGCGCCAGTATCTTACAGATAATGCCCGCACTAAGAGAGTATCTAGTTTTCACTAAAGCTGAGGTTCTTTACCGTGTTCCTCGGGTCATCCTACGGCTGCCCGCCATATAGGTTGTAATGTGGGAGTTCTTAACCGACCTCGCACATTGTGCTCATGTCATATCAATTTCTCAACTTCTGTAGCTGCCAAGGTCAGTGGTAGCGGGTGCCAGCTGATGTGCAATGGGCACACACACCTTCGCGAGACGCACAGACACGAATCACAGCGACAAGCATGAGGAAGAGGAGGAGACCTTCTGTACTCCTCTGTGTTACGCAATAGTGCGTATCGCGATACGGCAGGTACCTTACCGCATGGGACCTATTTTCAACGTTCGATTTCTCCACAACAGAAAGAGTGGCAGCGCTGGACCCGGCGGCGTTCAAGCCGTTTCGTCGAGCGCTCTCAGAAAACGCCTCGTTTCGTTCAGCATCCTCTTCATCGTGGAGAAATGGAGCTTTGAAAATCGGTCCAGGGGGTGCGGAATCTCGTCAAACCTACGGTGTCGATGCTGACAAAATAACGCAACCGGAACTGCAGTCGCACGAGGGCTAGCTTCCGTGGTGACACGGTCCGTACAACACCGGCAGCGGCTACACAGATGATGCTACGGTAGGGTGGTCACCTCATCAGACACTTCCGGGTAAGTCGGCACACTCTAGTTGCGCCTATAGGCCGCGTCCTGTGATTCGCCGAACGATTACCGGAACAACACTGCACACTTTCCCCCAACGGTGGAAGGTTTCACTCCCAACATGCACCTCGCTTATCGAGCTCCATTGCACCTCGCTGTTCCGCCCGTCCCTGTGGCCCAAAATATCTCTAAAATGTCAGGAGTTTCCACCTCTGAAAGGAGGCCGGGTAATTCTCACAACTATAACTCCAAATCGAACATAGTCCGCGGGTATAGGACCGTGTTCTTCAAAATACAGTGGGCGGCGCGTCAAAATAGCCGGTTGATTAGATCCTGCGGCCCTGTATGTTGCCGGTGAAATCGCTGGGGAAAGGCGAAATCACCAAGTCATTCTGCACTTTGAAAAGTAGCGCCGGTCCCTCTGAACGGCGCCGGTCCATTCGCCGGGCACATGCCGGCGTTGTTGAGGGTTCGCCTCTGTTAAGGGTCTCCCATCATTCCACGCACCTCTTCCGTTGATTGGCCTCGGCGGGCTCTTGGACGGGCCGTTCGCCTTGCTGTTGGACTTGGCGCCCATTTGCCCAAGGCCCGAGAAGAGATCGTCGATTTCGTCGAAGCTCTGTCATAACGGACAAAAAAAAAAAGGGCCAGCGGAGGAGCTCGTCGGCGGGATGTTTCAATCATGGGAGCTGTCGCACTTTGACAAAGACGGCAAATTGTCGAACTTTGAATTCCTCGAATGGCACAAGTCAACCAAGGGAGAAATATCCTGCACAAAAACTAGCTTACCTTTCCCCTAATGGACGCCCTGCCCTGACACGCGGTCAAGGCAGCGGCATCTCTTATCTAGCCGACGACGTCTACAGTTGTCACACTTCCAGCTGCGTCTCTCGTCGTCGCCAATCTTTGACCATCACTATCTCCCACGGCGACCATCACGAAAAAGAAATCAATATATACCCACTTCTACCGCTCCCACCCGACCATGCCCCTCCACGCTCTGTATGCCCTTCAACTAGGCTGCCTAAGGTACCACACAGCCTCTGGGCCTAAGTTCAAAGCTCGAATACTGTAAGACGAAGAGGATTCTGGAATACAACGTCTTCGTGTTCAGAAAGCTCTCGACGATACACAGATTCGACGCTGCCACTTTCGGCACTACTGCTGCCACTAATTTTTTCCCGCCGTGTGATCGAATGAGGCCTAAAAATCAGCCCGGGGGGCTGTGCTTCCTCATGCAGCCTTTCGTCTGAGGGTCAAGAGTCTGCCACTACACCAGCCACCGCCACTCCCCTTCACGCGTGCCTATCCAATCAGCGGCATGCGAGCCAGGAGCTGCCCCTTCACACACGCGTCTCCGCCACATTCGTGTCTCCGATACATGAGAGTTGTGTGACAAAGGCCCTCCAACCTGGTATAAGTCGGAGCCCCCCGAATACCGAAATAAGGTACCGTTATGTAACTTTGTACTACCAGCGGTGCGAGTCCGTGACAACCAATTTCGACGCTCTGACCTCGACGCGCTGACCTCGGAGCCCCCTCTTACAAGGCACCCATCCTCTTGTCTCGGAGCCACGACTATATCCAGGACATACCGGCGCACTCCCGTTCAAAGCGGTCCGGGAGCCAAAAACAGCCGGCTGATGCGCCACGAAATCACGCAGAGGACACAACAACAAAACAACTCCCCACCTCCTCCACGTCCGGCAACGGCAACGGCGATGACGCGGAAGCGGCGGCGGCGGCCGCATCCAACCCCTCCCCCCTCTCCAGCCCGGCCAGAAGCTCCTCGAAGTCCCTGTCAACCCCACCCGCGCGCGGCGGCGGCGCCGTCCCCGCCGGGCCCCGCCTAGGGCCAGCGGCAACCGGCGACGAGCCGGCAGCACCACTGCCGCCTATGCCGATACCCCTGCCTTCTCCCCAAGCCGGCAGCAAATCGTCCTCGAGGTCGCCACTTCTGTTCGCGCCCCCCCCCGTGCCCCTGGGCGACGACGACTGTCTTGCCGCCGCCGCCGGCGGCGGCGAGCTGCTCTCCAGCCCGGCCAACAAATCCTCGAACTCCTGATCATCAAACACGGCCGCGGTCGATTTAGGTGGCGGTTGCTGCTGCTGCTGCCGCCCCGCTACCCCTCGCGAAACGGGCGGCGCCGGCGGCGAGCCCAGCCCTGCCAGCAGGTCGTCCAAATTCTCGCCCACCGGCTCCCCTCTCGACGGAGCGTCGGAAAACGACGAGGACGCGAGGTCATCCTCCCCTGCCTGTCTACCCGCGGCGGCCGAAGCCGGAGGCGACTCCTTGAGCTCCTTCATAAGCGACTGCCATTGAGGTTGGGGCCGAGGGGGGGGGGTAGCACGGGGAGGTTTAGTAACGGAAGAGTCCTAGGTTGGGTAGGGGCTTGCAGAGCTCCTACATCACGATCGACGGCGTGTTAAATCATGACGGCGGAATTGCAGCCTCGCTATCATTCCGAAACCTGGGGTATGAGTGGAAGAAGTCAAAACCGTCTCAATCTGCAATTCCGTGGATGAGAGCACACAATGTTTTCAGCCAGTAGTTGACTGGAACCCAACTAGATTCATCCAAGATTCTGAGCCAGTACTAGTTCAATGGAATCAACAAATTTCATCAAGATTCTGAGCCAGTATTAGCTGATGGGCCAAACTGATACAACTACATGAACAAAAATGAAAAAGTTGTGAAAAAGTATCACATTAACGGCCTCAGTCATTCCGTGGAGGTAGAAGTACCGTTTGAACAGCAATCTCACCGCAAAGAGGTCGTCGTCGTCGTCGCCATTGCTGCCACCGGCAGCCGCCCCGATGGAAGAAAGTCCCGCCGCCGGGGGTGCATCTCTGCTTACCCTAGAAACCCCCGGCTCGAGCAGCCCGGCAGACCCCGTGCTGCCTCTTGGTCTGATCTTGCTGCTGTTCGGATCTTGGAAATCCGGCGAGCTGCAACGAACAAAAAAAACAGGAAGTCACTTGATTTGATGGTTGTTTCGCACGCAAAACCAGAGCTAGAGCTAGAGCTAGAGCGACAGCAACCCCCTATTGTCGATAAGGAACCTGATCGCTACTGAGGGCAGGTCGCTTTTGCCAACAATAGCGGCTGCTGCATCTAGTCGGGGCGCAGGGCAGGGAGTGCCTCTATACAAGAGGTCGCTAAGCCGGATTACCGTATATGACACAAGATGACACGTCCCCCGGACCAATTTTCAAAGCTCGATTATGCAACAACGAAGAGGATGCACAAATGAAACAACACATTTTCGGAGAGCTCTAGACGGAACAGCTTCAACTCCACCGTTTTCCGCGCTGCAACTCTTTCTGCTGTCGAAAAACGAGCTTTGAAAATAGGTCCACGGGGTGTGTTATCTTGTGCCATTTACGGTAGACACGACAACACAACGAGGAGACAAAGAGGAAACATAATATGACTGCCGAGGAGTGCATGCTACAACGTAATTGTACGAAGTGCGTTGGGTGGTCGGCCTGTTACCACGGAAGGCGTCCGCGTCAGTTGGACCGGTACAAGATGTTTCAATGTGAACAACAACAACAACAACAACTAGTTTTGTGCCTGAGGGGGATGACGCCCGTCCCGGTCAGCGTTACAGGAATCGTTTCACATTCCACTACTTAGTGGTACAGCAGCGTGCCTGAAGTCGAAGCCGTCGGCATCGAGCCGCTTCTTGTGCTCGGCCACTGCGTGCGCTCTTTCCACCACAGAGGGGCCTTGCGCTCTCGCCCCGGGGAGGGCGGGGCCCTTGCGCGCGTCCTCACCCAGAATGCTGTCCAGGCTGGACAACAAACGCAACACACGAAAGTGTACCACGAGGGAGTGAGATGGAACGGACAGCTGCGCAGCACAAGGCGTGTACATCGAGGGAGTCAGCGGGGGGTCGCACAAAGCAATCTGTCCTGTTCCATCTTGCACCATTCTGGTCGACGGCTCAACAACGACGCAACACACGATACGTACAAGCGCGTGACGAGGGGTTGAGGATGAGATGGACAAAAGAATGCCGTCCAGGCTGGACAACAACGCGATACACGCGAAAAACAAAAGCCCAGAGCAAACGAGCGAGAAGGAGAAGAAGAAGGAAGATATAGTGCTGTGAGAGCGGTTCCTTTTTCTGCGTATCCCCCCCCTCCCCCCCAGCATGCTGAACAGCTGTCCAGACTGCAAAGCAACTCGACAAAAAGAGCAAAGGCGTGAGTGAGGGGGCAGGGGGGAGAAAAGCGACATGGGGGGCAAACATATCGGCCTCCAAACAAGGCAGCAGACTTCGGCCACGGGAACAAGGTGATGTGCTAAGAATTCGACGCAACACCCAGAACTACAAGGTACCTTTTGGGAAAATACCGTACCGAGGAAAAGAGAACGAGTCGAGGGGCAACGTCGTACGAGGTGAGGCAGGTACCAAAATGACACTGATGGAGGTGTACTAGTGAAAACGCATGCCGAGGTCGTCAGGCCATTGGTCGCGCATCCCCAAAACGCCGGAACGGAGCGATATGTACCTCGGCTTTCCTCCGGCCAAGGTTACGTTTCACACGGATGATCAGAAGCTGGACATCACCCTGCGTTTGCTGTGCCAAACAATAAGAGACACTCCACGCGTTAACTGGGCATCCCGGCTAACCAAACGTTTCAAGTTCGGCAGGCACGAGTCCACTTCAAACACCGAGGTGGCCAAGCCGAAGACGAGGGGGGGGGGCGGGGGGGGGGTACTCATAGTCGTGCATGCCGTAGTCGTTAGACCATTGACCTCGCATCCCTACAAGGCCGGGACGGAGCACGCCGGGTTCTCAACGGACCAGGCTCTCACATCACCAAGCGCGAAGCGCCGTGAGATATTCGGCGAGTCGCATGAAGGGTGCGCTGGATCCTGCTAAGGGTTTTCGGCATCTTGTGCTTACTTCTTGCGTACGGATGACAGCTGCGTATGACTTAATTTATTTTCTGGTGCTTTCACTTCCAGAGACAGTTGTAAGCACTGTGTAACTGCCTCGAGGGTGCTTGACCATTTTAACACAACGTGGTGCGATCATACCCCTTGCGCGGAGTGAGGGTTCTCCACCCCGTACAACATGATCTACTCGACCACCATTATGGTTACCGCCAAAAAAAAAAACGGAGGAAAAAAAAAAAAACGGTAACCTGGTTGCCGAGTTCACGAAGTGAATTGGCTTGTTCTACTACGTCGTTGCCAAGCGACGAAAACCCAATCCCGATGGCAAACACC